AGCCACTGGGAATCGTCCCAGACCCGCAACATTATGCGGTCCCACCAGTCTGTGCTTGTTTCCCGAGCCCAGAGTCGGCGTTCCACTGCATGAACCTGCCCCATTAGCACCATGATGCCCACATTGCCAGGGCACGTGCTTTGAGAGAAGTCTGTGTCCATGTCCTCATCACTCCCATCACTGCACTGATGTCGCCTACTTGCCCGGTTTCGCTTTGCCAGGTTCTGGTGCTGCATATACTGCTGGATAATGTGTGTGGTGTTTAATGTGTTCCTAATTGCCAGTGTGATCTGAGCGGGCTCCATGCTTGCTGTGATATGGCGTCTGCACAGAAAAAAGGCACAGAACTATTGTCTGTCATTGCCGTGACGAAGGGAGGGGCGACTGATGACATGGCTTACCGGGAATTAAAATCAACAAAGGGGGTGGCTTTGCGAGAAACTGAATGGCCCCCTCAAGGATAGGACTCAAAATGGTTTAGCAGGCCGTTGATTTCACGGAGGGAGGGAGGGAGGAGAAAATGAATACAAAACAAATCTGGTCTATTTCTTGTTTTGAGCCACTTCATCTATCTTTATACATCTTGCTGGCAGCAGACTGTGCAGTACGACCGCTAGCCATTGTCATCTCCTGGGTGCTAGGCAGAAGATGGTGCAGTATGACTACTGGCCATCATCTTCTGCTGGCTGCTGATTAGAAGACAGTGCACTGTCGGTAGGACTCAATCACCATGAGACGAAACTTAAAAGCGAAATGACCTGGCTGAGTCACTCCCATGTTTGCCCAGGCGCCCCTGACCTCATCGAGGTCGGTTAAAAGAGCACCCAGGACTATGTCAACGATGGCTACCAGTCATACTGCACTGTCTGCTGCCAAAAGGCAATAAACTGCTCCTGTGTAGCAATGCAGTACCACGTCTGCCAGCACCCAGGAGACATACGGTGACGGTTAGCTGAGCGGGCTCCATGCTTGCCGTGGTATGGCACCTGCACAGGTAACTCAAGAAAAAAGGCGCAAAACGATTGTCTGCCCTTGCTTTCATGGAAGGAGGGAGGGAAGGGGGGCCTGACGATATGTACGCAGAACCACCTGCGACAATGTTTTAGCCCCGTTAGGCACTGGGATTTCTACCCAGAATTCAAATGGGTGGCGGAGACTGCGGGAACTGTGGGATAGCTACCCACAGTGCAACTCTCCGGAAGTCAACGGTTGCCTCGGTACTGTGGACACACTCCGCCGACAACATGCACTTAAGAGAATTTGTGTGGGGACACATACAATTGACTGTATAAAAACGCTTTCTACAAAACTGACTTCCATAAATTCGACCTAATTTCGTAGTGTAGACATAGAATCAAATCTCATCAGACTGAACTGTGGTATCAGAGAATGTGGTGGGTTGGTGGTGGAAGTATCTCTGTAGCAGATTCAGGAAAAAAGAACATGAGGTTGGTGAGTGAATCCTCAGTGGCACAGTACTTGTAACGAGTGTAAGGATAGGTTTACATGTGAAGAGTGTAAGGATAGTAAATTGCACGCAGCCCCTCCTGGGAAACATCATGAGAGCCCCTACGTTGAGGAAAGACAGCTGTTACTTTGACACTCTAATTTTGCTTTGTAATCTAAACTCTGTGTACAAAGGATAGAAATCTTATCATCTACATATGACATTACATTCAAAGTTGTATTCCATGTGGGGAAAACCTCCATCCTCCTTTAGCTGCATCCCTCCTGTCAGGATACTAACACTCTTTTCTTCTGTGTGTGCTGGATCCATGGGACTAAATTTCCAACAACTTAATTGATACCTCTTCATCCATGCCTTCCAACCACTTCTAAGAAGCCTGTTCTTCTCTGAAGTGTTCTGTTTATGCAGACCAGATGCAAGACTGTGTTTTTATCACATTGTACCAGTCATGCCTGCAGGCTTGCTGGGGCAAGGACATCCACACTTGTTTGGCAGAGTTTACATTTTAAGGAGCTCCTTACATGCTGATGGGGCAATATAAATAACTTTGGCTTTACACTGTATACAAGTGTTAAATACAGAGGGCCAAATTCTGATCTCAGGAACACTAGTGAAAAAAAAAATCAGACAGTTCTATTTGTTCAGACGGTTACCTGTGTGACGCTGTATGGAATTTGGGAGACACTTGAGGATATTATGAATATTAATATTGTAAAATTGCGATGTGCTATGTAAGATCTGCAAAAATGTTATAATTTGCCAAATATGATCATCTCATTTATGTTTGTATCACCTTTGTATATTGGGTTATAGATAGGTCTGTATTACAAAACTTGTGCTATGCTTCTGGGTGACTCTCCCAGACAGTTTGGCATCAGCACTGCCTATCCTGCTTGATGGCCCATTAGCTATACAATTGACCCATTGAGAGAAGGCAAGGGATACACCTTATGACTCAGCAAGGCATGGAGGGGCATGCCAATGGACAGAACTGTAAGACTTCCAAGCCATATGGTGGGCAGCTTGTGTTTGAAACAAAGTAAGCACTAGTTGCATGGCAAGACTATAAAAGGCAGCTACATCATCTCCATTTTTACTTCAGTCCTGCTTCTTACCTCTGAAGGAACTTTGCTACAAACTGAAGCTCTGAACAAAGGACCGAATGACCCATCCAAGCTGTGGATGTGTTCCAGAGAGACTTTCAAGCCAGCAACCTCACCAATACTCCTAGGAACCTCATGGATTTGAAGTGTTGTATTTATGTGACTGCTTTACCATTTAACACCTCTCATTATTTTTTCTTTATAATAAATCTTTAGTTTTAGATACTAAAGGATTGGCTGGCAGCGTGTATTTTGGGTAAGATCCAAACCTATATTGACTTGATAATGTGGCTGACCCTTTGGGGTCAGAAGAACATTTTGTATATGTGAGCAGAGTTTTTTAAATAACTTCTCACTGTACTGGACCTAGGTGCTGACTGGGAGCCAGAGAACTGGAATGCAATAAAGGAGGCTGTGTGATTTCTTTTTTGCTTATTGAAAACCAGTGTGGAGGAACAGAAGCAAAGTTTGTGACTGGTTGGGGAATTTAACTTCAGTGTTACCCACCAGTCTTGGGAGTATCTACTCTCCCTTTTGCAGCCTGTCCTGACGTTGGCATTTCCAGTGAGGGCTGCCCCAGGCAACAACCTGCATTTATACTGGAGTAATAGAGCTGAATTTGCATCACCAATTCACATCTAGCTAGAAAAGGTTTCACACTGGTAATTGGATTTTGGCATATGCATTTCTGATTCTGTGGTTCAAATAGGCTCTCAGGTCCAGATCCTCAAAGGTATTTAGGGGCCTCACTCCCATGGAAATCAATGGGAATTAGGCACTTAATCCACTTTGAGGATCTGGGCCTTGGATACTACAGTAATGCATGGTGGTAGGAGACCTGAATATAGGTGGACTTGTTGACAGGCTAGTTTGAAGACTCTACTTAAACTTTTACCATGAGAGGCTTAACTGTGGATTCTGTGTCTGATACTGGATGGGCTTGTTTTACAAAGTGAATGAGGCCAGAGTCATTAGTGCTATTGACAGCATGAGCACATGGTTTTAGCAGCAGGAAACTGCTCCCCTCCCAGGAACACAGATGGTTCATCACCCCACCTCCATACCTGGACAGAGGGGGATACACCCACTGACTCTAGCCACCACAGGATGTTTACTGTGTGGGATTCATCCTCTTACTTCCTGCTGTGTGCAGGGAAGATGAAAGGCCCACACCCCATGGGCAGTGTTCCTCCCATATCCCTGGTGTGGCAGGGGCAGTTAAAGCCCAACCCTCTCTGCAGCACAGAGATACAGGCCATATTTCCTCATCTCACCCAACCAGCTCAGTGGCAGTAATGTCAATATCCAGCATTTAAAAATGAAGAGTCAGGCCCTCAAAAATGGAAGATTGGCATAAAAAACATGTGTTTTAAACAATAAATGTGGTGTTCCTTTTATTTGTCTTCTGGTTTCTGACCCTTTGGGTCACCAGGGCATGACACGTTCAAGCTTTTCCTTGCAATGAGGGCCAGAAGCTATTTTTCTTTTAAACGATAACTGAGATTCTCCCCTCATCACAAGACTCCAAGCTTAGAAATTAATCAAATATCACAGGACTCATGATAAAAATCACATCAGCTGGTGACAGGGATAAATGTGGCACGGGCCCCGCCCCACAGCATCCCCTGGGGCTCTTTCCCCACCCCTATGGCCTATTCCATCGCTGTTCCTGGGCCTGCCCCGCACGGGCCTCTCTTTACAGCATCGCCCCCAGCGGTCCCGCACCGCAGCGTCCTCCTCCAACAGGCCCCTCCTCGCGCCATCCCCTCCCGCACCGGTTCCTCGTCGCGGGTCCCTGCCCAGCGCCCCGGGGCCCGGCCGGGGGTTGTGTGAAGGCGCCTCTCACCCCCCCCCCAGCCTTTAGGGGTGCCCGCCCAAGGCCGCGCCGCCTGCCCTCGAGAGGAAAAGTGGGGGCGGGGCGCCCGTCCTTAAGAGGCCGCTTCCCGCCCCGGAAGTGACTGGGAGGAGCTGCGCTCAGCACCACGGGAACTTTACCCGGAAGGCTTCCCGGGCAGCCGAGCTTCCCTCCCGGTTTCTCTGCCTCTGCAGCGCCCCCTCTCGCCCCGGAGGCGGCGTGGCTGACCGGGCGGCCCCCGCAACCCAAAAAGCCGCGGCGGGCAACGCTAACCGGCCAGTCTGAACGTTCGTGACGTGCAGCAACGGCCCATTTCGCACGCCGACTACGGAACCCCGCAGGGCGTGGGCTTAGCTCGCCCGAGACCCCGGCCGCCGGCGGGCGCATGCGCAGATCGTACGCTTACCTCATATCAGCCACGCTTGGAAGACTTCCCCTCTCTCACCATGGAGCTCCGCGGGAGGTGTTTCCGGCCGCTCTGACCTTCCCGCGGAGCTCCATGGTGAGAGAGGGGAAGTCTGCAACAGAGCGGCACCCTAGTGCGCGTGCGTCCTGCTCGCGGGGGAGTCTTCTAGATTCGAGGGCCCGACAAAAATAGTGCGCTTGCGCGCTGGGCCTGCGCGCTTGCCGGGTAGTCCTTCCAGTCGGTGCTGAGTGCGCCTGCGCCCTGAGGCTTCCATTCTCACCCAGCCCCAGCAGCGGCAGCCTTGGGGCGGAGGAGCAGCCGCCGCAGCCATGCACTGCAGTAGGTGCCGCGGGAATTAAGCGGGATCTGCTGCTCCCCCTTCTACCGCATGCACCTTCTGTAGCGTCCATGAGGCCGGTTTTACTTGCACCCCCCCTCCCCCGTCTGCCCTTCCAGCAGCTCCAGGTAAAACCCCAGTGTCCTGTAGCATGGGGTTGATATGTGGGGGGAGGGGGCTGCAGGCAGCCCTTGGCTTGTTGGGGGGCGGGGAGGGGGAGGGGAAGCATTGTTTGGTGAAATCAATAGGTTACAGAGCTGCCTCTGCTCTGTGGCTGGGCTGGGCGCAGCTGGGAGCCGGACCGGGGCTCATGGTTGGGGGAAGTACATGGGCTTTCCAGCAGGGTTTGTTCCTGGCAGTTTCGCCCAGCTTATCAGTGTTTTAAAGTATTTGTTTTTTTCCTAAAAATGAGGATTTTGTATTCAGTTGCACACCCATGAAAGAACAGACTTGGCAGGCACTGGCATTGTGGTGGCAGCCCACCGTAGGAAAAACGGTGGGACTGTGATGTCCAGAGGGAATTCACTTCCCTTGTTCCAGACATTTTAAAAATGGACAAAGCACTACAGAAAACAGTGTAAGGACGAATCCGGTACTGGCTGGGAGGGGTGGACTGCATGACCTAATAGGGCTTTTTCCTCTGATTTGGGGATGGGTTTTAGAAATCTAAACCGCGGGGGCTGGGGAGTACAGATTCAAGGCTTTTGTTTCATCCTTAACTCTCCCTGCTGTGCTTAGATCTGAGATTAGTGCGTGGCTGTATGTGCTGCAATACTTAGGTACAATGGGCGATTTTACTATTAGTTCCTTATCCCTGAATCTCCAGTCTGACAGTGTTTAGTTAGATCCTTTATTGTATTTCTTTATTTAAAAATCTGGCTATGTAATCTGAATAATTGACATAACAGCCTTTCATGATTCTTAGTGTGTACTACTAGATGTTCTCAATCTGTGGATTATCATGGTAGTGCGCTTGCTCTGAATTGTGTCTGTGGGATCAAGGTTCTGATCCATAAATAACCATCTCCCCGCACAATGTATGGTCAGTAAGGGTTCTGTAATACTTTAATGCATATTTAGTAGTTGATATTGAGATTTGAGTAACTTGGCAGTTTTTAATTAAGTACTAGTGACAATGTCTAAAGGCAGGAGGCTAGAGGACTAAATAACTTGTTTAATTCAAAGCTGTTTAGAGGGTGGTGAAAAGACAAATTATTTTGCTCATCTGCAGTTTAAAAGCATGTACTGATTTGAACAGATTAATTCATAGTTTTTGGGGCATTAGCATGTGAGACCAGCTTTGCCTTACAGAAAGATAGAGATGCTAAATAAACCTTTTTATTTGCATCCGATGAAGTGAGCTGTAGCTCACGAAAGCTTATGCTCAAATAAATTGGTTAGTCTCTAAGGTGCCACAAGTACTCCTTTTCTTTTTGCGAATACAGACTAACATGGCTGTTACTCTGAAACCTTTTTAAGTTGCTCCTCAGGATCTGCTCTGCCCTCAGGTACATGTATGCCACTTCAGTAGGAAGGGAGTCTCCTTACCCCTTCCTTAAAGAACATGTCTAAAAAGCAGTATTAGTGGACATACTGGATGGACACACTGCAGTAGGTTAGAGGCTATGCAGAAAGAGCTATATCCTGGAAGGTTTCAGAGTAACAGCCGTGTTAGTCTGTATTAAGAATTAGGACTGTTTAGATTGGTGGTTGACAGTTGTCACTGCTAGTTTGATTGTGAAGCAGAACTTGACAAAGGCTTGTTATTAAAATCTGAAGTAGGAAAATATTTGCTTGCAAGAGCCTACCTGCACACCGTATCTTATTAAAATAAGTGCAAAGCTTTAAGAGGATCCTGGTTTTTGTGTGTGCTTTGCTTTAAAAAGCACTTTTCATTACAGCTTAGGCTGGCTTCAGTTTTTACATTTGATCTGTCATTGTCACTCAAGCAATGTCTACATTATCACTTTTGTCGGTTAAAGTTATGTTGGTCGGGGTGTGAAAAAAACACTCCCTTCACCCACAAAAGTGCTGGTGTGGATAGCACTATGTTGGCAGGAGACTCTCTCCTGCTGACATATCTACTGCCGCGCGACACATCTACCACCGCTCCTTGGGGTGTGGTTTAATTATGCCAGCAGGAGAGCTCTCTCCCACCAGCAAAGAGTGGAACCAGCTGTCCCACTATAAGGTTTGTAGTGTAGACATAGCCTCAGTACCCAGTCCAGCTTCCACTGATGCCTTTTAATGGGAATTTAGATCAGGCCCTGGGTGAGTGTGTCACTGTGCTCTCAAATGAACTTACACAGGAAAATGATAAAAGACAAAAACACCCTATCATCTGTGAGTGAACACTTTTTACAGAGTGATCACTCTATATTGGACCTATCAGTCCACATCCTCAAAGGAAACCTGCACAACATTTTCAGAAGATGAGCGTGGGAGCTTAAATTCATAACTTTGCTAGGTACTGAAAATCATGGACTGAATAGAGACACTGGAGTTATGGCTTATTACAACAATCTATAACCTACTAATAACCCCACTGTCAGCTGCTCCCCCAGCCCCCTTTACAACTGGAGTTATGTTAATGTTCACCTTGAATAGCCTCTTGAAACGTGTGGTAACTACTTATGCAAAACAATCTGTTCCACCTTGATTTTGCAGTGACACTCTGGTATGTTTCCCAGACCTAAATGAGAGCTCTGTGTAAGCTTGAAATCTTGTCCATCTCACCAACAGAAGTTGGTCCAATAAAAGATATTACCTAGCCTATCTTGTGTCTCAATACAGGGAGATAGGCTTGTTGCTGGACCAAATCCTGTAAGCGCTTGAATGGTATGCTAAGGCTCAACTTATGGGAAAAAAGACACAAAATAAGGGAGAAGGGGAAACTGCTATAGATGGATCTAAAGGAAGCCTGGACATAGTCATTTAGCCTATGTGTCTAAGACCTTGTCTACACTGCATTGGTAATTTGATCTAAGCTACGCAATTTGAGTTACGTGAATAGTGTAACTCACATCAACATAGCTTAGATCTACTTAACGCTGGTCCACACTACACGATGTTGATAGGAGACACTCTCCCATCGACTCCCCCTCTTCTTCTCGATCTGCTGGAGTACAGGAGTCGACGGGAGAGCGATCTGCGGTCGATTTAGCTGGTCTTCACTCAACCTGCTAAATCGATCGCCAGTGCATCGATTGCCACTCGTGGATCCCCTGGTAAGTGTAGACAAGCCCTAAGATATTTATACAGTTCCATTACTGTGATGTCTGAGCTCTTCATGGTCTCTAATGTCTTTATCCTTGCAACATCCCTCTGAGTTAGGGAAGGATAATTATCCCCATTTTACAGAGAGGGAACTGGGACATAGAGAGGTGGAGCCATTTGCCCAAGGTCACGCAGGATGTCTGCGATGGTGAAGCAAACTGAACCCAGGGCTTCCAACTCCTAGGCTAGTGCCCTAAGCACTGGACCATACAAATCCCTCGCAAACCTCAGTTTCATGCGTTTCTGATAGTAAACAAAAGAGATCTCTACTTTGTTGCTTATGTAGGCTGAGCTGGCAGATGATGGGAGGGGCAGGATGCTGTCTCTAGCCTCAAACTTGTAGCAATTTTGTAAGATACAGCCACTAAAGCTACATTTTATTAAGTCATCTAAGCTGCTCATCTTATCTTCCTTGTTGCATATCAACTGCAACTTCTCCCAATGGTGCCTCTTTGGTGCTTCAGGAACTGAGTGGTAGCATCAGAGGTAACATAACTAATCATCGCTCCATCCTTCCCTCCAGTAACCCTAACCTGAAACACTGAGTCTACTGCCTGACTTGGTTGTCTTCTCCCTGACGGTGCCAGTTTGGTGCTGCAAGCAGAGGAATCTCTCTTCCTGCTGTACGAAATGAGCACCGTTTAGATGACATAGAACAGCTTTTGACTGGGCGAAGGTAAATGATTTTGCCTGAGCCAGGCATAACGTGGAGGGAGCCACAGTGAAATCTCCAGCCTTACCTTTACTCAGCTACTATAGATCTTGATCTGAAGGAGCCTCCCTATTCCAGTCCTGAACCCTGGGTCCCCCAACCCTATGGAGACTCCTCAGACCTCACTTAGTTTTATTTGCTGACTCACTTCAACCAATGGGACTGAAGTATGCAAATAAACTGGAGGGAGGGACTGGTGATTGGCTGAGTTATCTTGGTCAGTGCTCTTCTATCTGCAGCACCAAATGGTCACTGTGTGGAAATTGGATTTTTCTGGTTTTCTGATTGCCACCAAAATCCATAGGGTCTGTTCCATTTACCTAGAACGTTCTCTCAAATTTTGGAATTGATTGGACGCAGTCTTCAAAAGTTAATGCATTACAAATAGAGAAATGACATCGTTTCAATGTTAGGCCTCACTTCTTTTGGCCAATAACTTATAGTGCTACAAGTGAGACAACAGCATGTTTGTGAGAGAACGAAATACGTTTTAGTAACCCATGTTACACTTTCCAGGGGGACAATTGTACAGGGTGCCTGCTGGTAAAGAAACTAGACTGTCAAAATAAGTCTGTCTTGAAGTACTGTAGAAATCTTAAGTCTGAGCTGTGGATGAAGTATATCAAAAGCAGACAGAAATTAATGATAACTTTTCTTGGTTTGATTTTTTGGGTTTTCCTATATGTTGGTCAGATCCTGTAATTCTTTTCCGTATGATACGGATTCAATCAAGGCCTGTTAGCAGTCTCTTTTAGATGGTGACAGCCAACTTGAAGTCTGGTTGGTTTCGGAATGAGTTATTGTTTCTCGTTCTACACCCTGTCCTGTAGGACCATACCAACCCTTAAGGTTTTACAGTCCCTCAAACAGGGGAAACCTATTGGAAAAATCTACACTTTTTTGCCCATTGAGACAGGGCCTGTGTGTGCCAAGAACACATCAGTTATTCTGTTACCAGGATGAATAGAGCAGTCATCCACCAGAGGAAGGGGGTGAGTGTTATGGCATCCTTTTCTACATAGAACTCTTATAGTTCTGACCACTTATTTAATGGCCTAGACTAGCTGAATGGTGCTTTCTACCTTGTTCTGTGTTCTAATCAGGTTCTTACACTACATCCATCATCGTGGTATCGTGGAG